TCAGTGTTTTGCTCATTGTCGCACTTTCTAGTGGATGAATTCTGGGGTCACAGTGCCACTGAGGCAGTGGGCCCTGGAGGCATGAAAACTACTGCTTAGGGAGTAGTGCATTTGAAACCGATCGTTTTTTCTGTTGGTACATTAAGTTCCCAGGGCAACAGGAGCATATAATGTGGGGGGCGGCCAGGTGGTACCCAGGGCAGAGTGAGGCTGCCACTCAGAAGTTAAGAAAGCAAAGAAATAACTGCAGGGTCAGGCCTACCAACTCTGGCTGTTTAAATAACATGCCACCATCTTGTTCAGGAAGTGGGGAAGCAAGAGCAGGAGACAGTGTGGCCTCCTCCTGGCCAGCTTTGGAAGTTGACTCAGGCAGGGCACTGGTATCAGCATAGCTGGGGCGAGTGTTTTGTAGGGAGAGCTGCATGCCCAGGTAGGAAGGCAGTGGTGACAGGGACCCAGCGCTCCTGACTCCTGAGCTGCAGCCTGGAGTGCTCCATCCTTGGAGCATACAGCATGTGGCCCATGACCAAGAGGTTATCGCAGTCACAAAAGCCAGGTGCCATGATGAGGACAAAGGGAATATCCAGGGAGCACTGCCCTCCCAGTGAGTGATACCCAAGAAAAAGCGATGGGGGAGTGTGGCCTAGGGTTCCAGGCTTTGGAAACGACAGGGCAAAAGGACAAAAACAGAAAGGGCATAAGAATTCGGGACAGCTGGAGACAGGTAGGGGACGAGGAGAAGGGGCAGTCAAGAACGTAGAAGCCATCGGGGCCTACAACATGCTTTTCCCAAGAGGAGGAACTACAGCAGGGACAGTGGGAGCTGCTGGGGGCTTAGCTAGGACAGGAATGTGACCAGGCTTGGTGTGAAGAGGGAACACGAGCAGGGCATGACTAGGAGCGGGGAGGCTAGTTGGGAGAAGGTGGCCACCTAGAACAAGGGTGGTGGCAGCATGGTAGTGGGAGAGCAGGAGAGTCTTCTAGAAATCTAACCCAAATCCCAGAGTTGTGGTACCCAGACTGTCACATCATAATATGTGTAGTGATAAAGTGATATTTATTTAGGGCCATGCACTTGTCCTTTTTACCCCTGCCTGGTTGAGATGGCTGTCTTCCTCAGCAGGGGCAGATGTTTTAGTTCACATCTCAACTAGCTGCTCTCTGACCCCTGTTAGACACTGCCCAAATGTCCTCCTTTGAGACATGACGTCTCCCTCTTCTAACGTTATCATACGAGCACATTCACTTCTTAAAGGCAAAGGAGTGGCCTTAGTAAAGATAAACAAACAAACAAAGCAAACCCCCAGCATTTCGTATTCATTTGCGCTTATACTTTTGTCACTGTACACTTGGGAGACGCCGTTCTAGACGGGAGCCGCCTTCGCTGTGTGGAGGGGTGCGTCCCTTATGCACTGTCTGCCATCAGGGATGAGGGCCTTGCTTAGCTGCTTCCTGGGATGAGAAGCCTTACACCTGCTCCCTCCCGCTTATCCCTTTCCTTCCATTCCAGGCCCTGCAGGCCCAGGGCACAGGTAGGGGATGCCCAGAGTGAGGGCTGAGGAGTTTGCAAACTGGCGTCCCTGGCCTTCCTGGCCAGCAGCCGCCTGTCACAGCACAGCACTGCCGCAGACCTCCAGAGTCGTGGGGCCCCAGTGGTGGCGGGCTCCAGATGTTCAGCAGATGCCAGGCCTGGGACCGAGGCCCCATCTCTGAGGGCTTGGCTTGCTGTTCTGGAAGGTGATCCTGGCTGACAGCCATTCCTGAGCCCCTATTTAGAGCAGTTGTCAGGCAGTTGCTGAGTTCCAGCTCCCCCTCCCCAGCAGGCTGATGATCTCATGCCTGTGCCATGCTGTCACTGGGGGAGGAGGTGGCTTATAACTGAGGACAGGTGCCCAGAGCAGGGGGTAAGGTCTAGGCAGGACAGTGTGTAGGGCCGCGTCCCTGCAGCATGTTCTTGGGGCCTGGTTTGAGTCTCGGCTGCTGGTTTGTGCCTGCAGCACTGCACCCCAGGAGCCTGATCAGATCAGATGAGAGGGTTCTGCTGTCGGAGGCCCCTCAGCCACCCTGTGCTTCTTCAGAGCCCGTTTGCCCACCTCGCTCTCAGAACCAGCTTTGGCTCAGGAAGAAACAGTGATTGGGAGCCCCTCAGGGCTCAACCTCTGGACCTTGCACCACAGGGCTGTAGTTTCTAAACTCTGAGGCTCTTTCCTGCCTGAGAGTTACTGGGTTCTAAGCTTCTCCTGCCACGTCCCAGGTCCTAGGAAGGAAGATGGTGGATGCCCCCTGCTGGCCACTGTTTGAATTGACTGGGGATGGACTGTTGACCCCAGGGAAGGGTGTCTTTGCTGCCCCCAGATGAGAGCAGGGATGCCTACCCCTCTTGTGCTTCCCAGACCACTTCTGCATCCTGAGGTGCCTGACCCCATTTTTCACAGGGAATCTTGAACTCAGAAGACCTCTGGCTGCTGGGGGCTTTGCCCAGTTCAGGGTCACACAGCATAAGTGTGGGAGAACCAGGATTCTTAAATCCCTGGCTCTGCTAAGACCGACCACCTTCCCGTCCCCTGCCTGCCCGTATGCACAGGCTCACCTGTTCTCTCCACTCCTCCTCTCCCCACCTTCAGGCATCAGGAGGATCTTAAGGACAGGCTTTGGGGAAATGGTCCTTGCAGCTTCCCTAGAACACTAATGAGCCTTATCGACACCCAGGGAATTTGGATTTACTGCTGTGCCAGCTCCCTGCTGGTGACAGTGGTGTTTGAGGCTAATGCTTGACATCATCAGTCTGTCTTGAAGAGAATCCACAGGCTGCTGTCTTGATTCCCAGCCACAGGGAGGACGACAGGGAGGAAAGGTGGGACTCCAAAGGAAATGGAGGCCAGAGACACCAAGGGACCTGTCCAAGGTCAACCTCTGCATCCAGAGTTTTTACCAGATTATTGTCAGGGTTAGTCAGTATGTTCTTGTTTCTTTTCTATCCTCTCTCCCCCTCTTCCTCTCCCTTTCCCCCTCCCTCCCTCCCTCTGTGGTACCGAGGATTGAACCCAGGGGTGCTCTACTCCTAGTCTTTTATTTTGAGGCAGGGTCTCATTGAGTTGCAGAGGCCGGCCTCAAACTTGGGATCCTCTTTCCTTGGCCTCCTAAATAGCTGGGATTACAATCATGTGCTGCCACACCCAGGCCACGTATACTTGTTTCTATACAGGCCTCAGGTGACTTGTGGAACTGTGCTGGGGTCCAGGGAGGAAAAGTAGTGGATTCACTGGAGAAGCAGATCCCCTGGAGTCTGTTGTCACTGTCTGGGGCCCCTGGCAGGAGCCCACTCTGTTCCCTGTCCCTTCCCTCCTATTCTTATCCTTGTCCTTACTTGAGACTGAGAGAGATGAAGCAGGAACTGGAAGCAAGAGGCTGACTCTGCCCAGAGGGGATCTTTGACCTGTGGTGTGAGGCATGGGCCACCCAGCACAGCCCTGCTCCTTGTCCCTGCCTGCCCGCCAGCAGTCTTACCACAGCCCTGCTATAGGGCCATGCTGCCACCTACCGGCCTTGCTCATGAAATGCAGCCCAGGGTCAGCCCTGAGGTTGCAGGTGTCTCCTCTTCATCCAAGGAACAGACTGGGTGCCCATAGGATTCTGAGACTGCATGGGAGGAAAGTCTGGAACTGTGCCTGGCTCACCATAGCAATGTCCGTTGAGTGGACAAGCGCATGAATGAACGAATGTGAGCACATGAAGCCTGTGGGCAGTGCTGGCCTGACTGAGAGCAGACTGTAGATTACGGGAGATGCTTCCCAGCAGGAACTGGGTGGACAAAGTCAAAGTCTAGGTATAGAAACCAAGCAAGAAGAGTCTAATGGTACTGGATCAGTAACTGGCCCAGGAGGGATGGAGAGGAATTGGGCCTGGCCTTCTGGGAAGGTTTGGGAAGGGGCCAAGCAGGGAAGAGGACCACAGGGCATGTTGGCCACTGGGGTGGCAGGCGTGGGGGGAGGAGAGCGCAGCTGTGTCTGAGGGACAGCTGTGGACACCCCTGTTCCGCCATCCGCCTTCACGCAAGCCTATGGTCAGTTGCTGGCACCAGCCCTGATATGCGTTTGAGGAAGAGGATTGGGAGGGTCTGTGGCTGGTTCAGGGTCACACAGCAAAAGTGTGGGAGAACCAGGATTCAAACCACATTTCAGGAAACTTGGTGGTCAGAGAAGGTGCTTGAATGCGCGGGTTTTGGCAGGCACTAAAGGGCACAAGGACATATCGGAGGCTGGGAGTAAGCGGCCACTTGAAAAGCTGTGGCTGTAACTCAGGGGTAGCACAGAAGCTGCTTATTCCGTGCACTGGTCTCCTACAGCGGAAGGGCCAGTGAGGCCTGACCTTACAGTCACAGCTAAGCAGTGGTTCTCCCCACTCTACTCCAAGGACCTTTTGATAGAGGGGCCAGGTGTGCCAGTGGGCAGAGCCTCCACCCTGGGCCTGGGCTGCCCCAGGCCCCATCTGCTGGAGCACTCCCTGCCCCTTCTCTGTCATGAGAGCCCCTGCTTTTCTTTCCAAGAACAAGGCCAGATGATGAGGCTGACCCCACAACACTACCCTCTCCTCCAGGAAGGGGGCTCATCCCAGTCCTCCGGCCGCTGCCAGTCCTGCAGAACTTCCTCACTGACCCCTCCTGCCATGGTGGGAGAAACCTGGGCTTTGACAAAAGCCTGGGGAAGGCAGGGAAGAGAGAGTCTCCCCTAAGCTGGGCAAGGCCCCAGCAGACCCTCACCTCTCCAAGGAAGCAGGCTTTCCCCATGCAGATGCCCTGGCACCAGAATCATCTGAGCCACCTTCCTGGAAGCTTCCACACTCAGGGAGATGGGTGTGAGCCAGGGGAGGAAAGACAAAGGACTTGGAGGATCCCATTGACTGGGTAGTGGGAAGGTCCTCTCACACTGGACCTGAGGGTGCTGGAGAGCCAGGCGGAACGCCGCCAGTCTCCAGGGCCCTCCAGTCCTCCCTTCTCACAGGCTCGTGGAGGAGTTCATGCTCCTGGCCAACATGGCAGTGGCCCACAAGGTCTACCGCGCCTTCCCCGAGCAGGCCCTGCTGCGCCGGCACCCTCCCCCGCAGATGAAGATGCTCAATGACCTGGTTGAATTCTGTGACCAGATGGGGCTGTCCATGGATGCCAGCTCTGCGGGGGCCCTCAACGTGAGTGCTCAGCAGACTGGGTGGCGGGAGGCCCTACCGGGAGGAAAGAGGAGAGAGGTCTAGAAGGCAGGTAAGGTGGTCTCTACTTCCACCATGGCCCCTTCCCCTTCAGGTGGTCTCTACTTCCACCATGGCCTCCTTCCCCACAGTGGGGAGGGAGGACTTGGTGAAAAGACCTGAGTCACAGAGACCCTGATGACATGGGTCCCTCACCAGGACCCGGCCAAGGAAGGCCAATCAAGTATTAGCTGTGGGCCAGGGTCCTGGGGCCAGACTGGACTGGTCTTGGACCAAAAGGCTTACAGTATGGAAGCCTGGGATTATTGGAAGTCAAGGAGTGTTCCTTATAGGAGGCGATTTCAGGTGCTCCCTACCTGGAGCTAAGCATCAGGGGGCTGAGGAACCCAAGCTCTGGCTCTGCTCCCATAGGAGGGAGACTTCTCACCCAGGCCCCAAGCCTAGGGGAGGCACAGAGGTACTTTAGGTCAGAGATCTGGGCATCAGTCTGTCAGGCCAGCCACCTAAACATGGAAGGGCTAATCTCAGGCCCCGTGTGGGCCAAAGGTGATGGGCCACACCTCCCGCACCCAGCATAGCAGGTCTGGGCCCATGGCCAGCTTCCTCCCAGAGTTGGTATCAGATGGTCGACAGTGATGGGCCTAGAACCTCTCCCCGAGCCTAACCACACTCACACAGGTTTCTGGGCTTCGCTTCTAGAAAAGTCTGACCAAAATATTTGGAGATGACAAGTACTCGCTGGCCCGGAAGGAGGTGCTTACCAACATGTACTCCCGGCCCATGCAGGTAAGGAGGGACCTGGCCTCTGTCCCCATTCTCAGGAACACCCACAGCCCTGACCGGTGATCTCCATGTGCATACATAGCCACCAGCATTCCTGCTCTGCTCTGGACACCTGCTGGAGCAGGCAAGGACCAGGGTGGCACTGAGGAACACTCCTTGGGGGAGGGGAGGATGGCTAGGCAACATGTGGGACAGGTGACTAGCCTGTGCTGTGTGTGCAGGACGGTGTGCTCCAGTGCTCAGGAGCTGCTCCAGACGGAGACTGGCTGGGGACTCCAGAGGGAGAAAAGGTCTCAGCACCCAACCAGTAGAGAGCTCATCAGGAGAAGCACAGTCAGCCGTGGGCCTGGGCTGGTGTCTGCAGGCAGGTGGCTGCCTTTGAGGTAGACAGGTGGGCTGGCTCCTGGCAGCCTGTTACTACCCTCCAGACTGTGCTTCAGCCCCTGCAGGGCCCAAGCATCCTGGGAACAGAGGCCATCCCAGTAGTCTGTCAGATCAACAGGAGCTGCAAATGCTATGGGGACAGCTCTGGGCCCCAGCCCTGCCCTAAGCAGTCACAGGCCAGTTTTCTGGACCCAGCCACCAGGAGATTCAGTCTGTTCCCCAGAGTCAGATGGCCTCAGCTACTTGCAGCTGATTTCCTGAACCTCATAGCTCTGCTTGGAGTAGAGTCACTTGGACCTGGCTGCCCTTCCCTTGCCCCCAGTCCCAAGTGTCTGTCCCTCACCAGGCTCCCCGGCAGCAAAAAGGAACTGTGCATGGTACCCCCCCAACACTTTCAGCTTGGCCAAGAAGACACAGCAGCCCCTGGGCCAGCCTCTAGAAACTGTCCACTCCAAGATCAAGCCAACTGGAACTCCATGACAGATTCCCCTCCCAGAGTCACTGGAAAAGACTAGATTCTCCTGGCTTTGCCTGCCAGTGACCTCAGAAGCCACCTCCACCCAGGGATATAATGTCAGGGAGTGAAGAAGGGTCTGCGGTATTCCACTCTCCCAGCCCCATGAACCAGGGCAGGGACAGGGGACAAGGCAGAGGGAATAGCACCAGCAAGCATGAAGGGGGTGGGGGAGGCTGGGTCCTAAGTAAACTGCTGTCGTAGGACACCAGGGCTGCCCTGGAGATAGCTGGTGGTCCCCTCCCATCCCACCCTACCCAGAGACACCTCCACCAGCCAGGAGGGAGCCAGGGCCCTTTGTCCTCTTCACCCCAGTTTGTGGAACTGGGCCACCACTGAGAACAAAGGCCAGACATGGCTTGGATTGGAGGCTGCGCTCACCTCCCCCAGCGACTTGCCCCGGACATAACCCAGAGCCCAGCAGGTGCTGGAAGGGAAGCAGAGTTAGGGAGCCCAGCAGGTCACCGCCAGCTGTGCCCTGGATTCCAGGGCCCTTGAGCTCAGAGTAACCGGAGCCTGCTGTCCATTGGCCAAGTGCACAGGAGGGTGTATGTGTGAGCAATGGGGAGGGAGCAGGCAGGGGGGCCAGCACAGGCGGCTATGACTTAGAGTCTCAGACAAGGAACCTGGTCACTTGCTCCCAGGCAGCAAAGGGGCTGTGTCCAGGATCCAGTCAGGCTGTGTTGGGGCCCAAAAGAAGGTTCAGGGTGCTTCCTGTGCCCCAGATCAAATCTCTGCCTTTAGAACTCTGATCTCTGTCTTGGCCCCATGGAGGCTCAGGATAGTAGGCTGGAAAACTGCCCCCTTGGCTGCTGTGGGGTGGGGCATTGTAGGGCACAGGGGTGCCAGGGTGCAAGTGTGGCCCTCAACTGGGCAGGGATGAAGACCAGAGTGCTTGAGGTTGACCCAACCACAAGCCGCAGAATCCCCTGCAGGCCTGTCCGGGAGACAGCACCTTGGACTTGTATCCTCCAGCAGAGACACGCTTCTGCTCCCCTCAGCTTCTGCTTTTGCCTCCAGAAGACAAGTCTGCAGCCCTGGGCAAGTGTGGCCACAGGCTTTCCTCTCCCCCTTTGTCCTGACTCGGTGGCAGCCCCATAGACATCCAGGGAAGGGACCACCCTCCTCTCATTGTTCCTGGCAGGAACTCAGCAGCCACGGGCCCTAAGGAGGCTGAGCTCCTGCCCAGTTGACCTGGCGGCCACAGGACCCTGATGGGAAGAGGCCACCCAGTGTCCTGAGGGTTCCCAGCACCCCATTCCCACCAGAGGTGGAGCCAGTCTGGGCAGCCTGGGAGGAAGCCAGCTTCTGAGCAGGATAGGGGCCTGGGCGTACCCGAGCTCTGCCCAACTTTGTGGCAGCCCCTGGGGTCCTTTATGCAAAGTGGCCTCAACATAGTCTTACTCCACTCACCTGCCTGCTGCCTGTCACTTTACTGTGCCAAGCGCCTGGGGCCAGACTCTGATGTCAGTACCCTCCTGGCCCAGCCAACACTGAGACCCGCCCCCTCCCCCAGATGGCGCTCTACTTCTGCTCAGGGGTGCTGCAGGACCAGGCGCAGTTCCGGCACTACGCCCTCAACGTGCCTCTCTACACACACTTCACCTCTCCCATCCGCCGCTTCGCTGATGTCGTGGTGCACCGCCTGCTGGCCGCTGCGCTGGGTGAGGGTACAGCTTGGGGCCCAGGCAGGCCTGTGCGGCTAAGGGCTGCCACCCCAGAGTGAGGAGGGCCCAGTGCTGGGAGGCCACACTTCTGTGACCATGGAGCCTCAGAGGGACAAACAGCCTGGGTACAGGGGATCCTGGGCCTAGATGCTCTCCCTCTGCACAGGTGCTGGGGGACTGCAGTGGGGCAGCTCCAGGGCCCCTGCCTCTGCCAGCCCCAGCTCATGCCTGGGCTAGGGCCCCATGCTGTCTGTCACCCAGCATGGTTCATGCACCCTCTTCCCAGGCTACAGGGAGCAGCCGGAAGTGGAGCCCCATGCCCTGCAGAAGCAGGCTGACCATTGCAATGACCGCCGCATGGCCTCCAAGCGCGTGCAGGAGCTCAGCGCCAGCCTCTTCTTTGCTGTCCTGGTCAAGGTGAGTCCACCAGCCTGACAGCTTCCCCTCCCTCTGCCCTACCTCCACTCTTGGCTGCCTCCTCCCTGGAAGTCTTCGAGGTGTGACCGTGTAGGCCCTCCCTGGGAGGGTGCTATGCTGGAGCACTATCCCCACAGGAGAGTGGCCCTCTGGAGTCAGAAGCCATGGTGATGGGCGTCTTGAACCAAGCCTTTGACGTCCTGGTGCTGCGCTACGGGGTACAGAAGCGCATCTACTGCAATGTGAGTGTGGCCGGCTTGAGCAGGGAGGCAGGTGTCCCCTGGGGACCTAGCACCATGCTCCTGGCCTTTTCCCCTTACCTGTTTCCACTTCACTGCGGGGGTTCATCTGAATGTCCCTGGCCTAGAGCAGCCATTGGTAGACTCACGAATGTGGAGATAAGAACACAAACTCAGGTTCCTGCTGTCGCCATCCACGCTGGAGGGACATGGGCTGTCGGGTCCCATTGTCCCCTCAGCTGGGGCACATGGTAGCAGAGTCCAGAGCTCCGACCCCAAGCCCTAGCCCTACTGATAGACCTTTACAAGACACTCAGCTAGGCTCAACTGGGATGGGACTCCAGGCCAAGGGTCAGGCTGGGCCCCGTCCCCGAGACCTAGGCGCTCAGAGAACAAGCCCAGGGTGGCAGAGTATGTGTGCCTGGGGATGGTTTTGTAGAAACATAGAAAGGAAAGGCCAGAGGATGGTCCAGGAAGGACAGGTGCCTTGGCTTCCCCAGGGGTCTTGGTCCCTGTCCTGATGCTAGCCGAGGGGCCAGGCTCTAGCTGGCTCTGTGCTGAGCACCTGGCTCCTGTCCTGGGTTGAATCTCCTAACGTCCTAAGTGCCTGGGGGAGTCTGGCATACAGCATGGAATGGACTAGCATTAATAACATAGAGCATGAGCAGAGTCCAGCTGGAAGTAATCAGGGCGCTGGTGCTGAAGTTCACTGAGCAGGACCAAAGTTCTCTGAGCAGGACCGAAGTTCAGACCTAGGTCAGCTCTGCTGTTGTCCGCCCTCAGCCTGTGCTACCAGACCCCGCGCCAGCAGGGGGCGCAGTCCACAGGCAGTGCCAGCAGCATGGCCCACGTGCCTCATCCACCCCCAGCCATCCCTTGGCTCTTGGTCACCCTCAGGTGCTGAGTCAACCAAAGGTGGACTGGCTGGGTCTCCCTGAAGCTGGCTGGAAGTAAGAGGCCAGGGACGGGGTGGCCCCTGCTTCAGGTCAAAAAACCAGCAGTGGGGTGGGCGGCAGGGCAGGGAGCTTCCTCATGACCAGTCAGTCAGAGGTGGGTCAGGACAAAGGGCCACCTCCACGCAACGGGGCCTTCCGGGGTTAAAGGTCAGGAGGTGGCACCCAGAGCCCAAGGCCTGAGGTGCTGGCATGTGCACCCCCAGGCGCTGGCCCTACGATCCTACCACTTCCAGAAGGTGGGCAAGAAACCCGAACTCACGCTCATCTGGGAACCCAAGGACCCTGAACAGGAGCCAGCACGGCAGGTCAGAGCCCCATCATATTCCCTCTGCCCCGCAGGTCGCAGTGGGCCCTCTCCTGCCTCCTAGGTGTCCCCTCTCCTGCCTCCTAGGTGTCCCCTGTGCCCTCATCTTCCCCCTGCCCTCCCTAGCACTACAGGCTCCAGGTGGGGCTTCAGGCCTCCATGCCAAGGCCCCTGCCACACCCAGGGCTCAGTTGGCCTCCTGACCCTTACTTGGAGACACCTCTGGGCAGCTCTCTGTCTCTCTGAAGCAGGAATTTTTAACTTGTGGGGTCCCCTTTGAGAATCTGATGGAGCTGGGGACCTTAACACCCATGTTCATGTAGAGCAGCTGTCACTCCAAGGCCAGTCCAGCTAGCTTGTCTGCCCTGACCCTCGGGAGCACTCACTGCGCATCAGCGAGGTTCACAGGGCTGCCTGGCTCCTGGTTGTCCCTCAACCCCGTGGCTGAGGCCTTGAGCAGCTGTTTACAGGGGTAACAGGAGTTTCAGAGGCTGAGGGAGTGGGCCTCCATGGCCAGCTGGACACACAGTGGTGGAGCTGGGTTTTGGCCACAGGCCCCTCTCTGTCCCCGCTTACTGGATTCCGCCACAGGTCATCACCATCTTCAGCCTGGTGGAGGTGGTCCTGCAGGCGGAGGCTGCAGTTCTCAAGTACAGTGCCATCCTGAAGCAGCCGGGCCCCGAGGGCTCCCTGGCCCTGGAGGAGGACGAGGAAGAGGATGAGGAGGAAGAGGAGTCCCATGGTGCACTGGAAGACTGAATGCCAGCCCTGAGCCTGGCCCAAGCCAGCCCCACCCCACTGGCTTTTAGGAATAGGACCTTTTGACACCAAAGGGAATTTTTAATTTGGTTTTTAACATCTCAGGGGTTTGTTTTTATTTTTTCAGTTTATTTTATTTTTGCAGCTCAGTTTTTAAATGATGAACTGGAAGGGAGAGGGCAAGGCTGGATGGAAGGCTGAGGCCTGGATGGCACTTCCTCAAGCAAAGAGGGCTCCAGTCTTCCTGAGAGGCCAGCCCGCTTCTGCCAGGCCACCCACTGCCCTCCCCTGCCCAGGAAATGGGGGTTTTCAGCAAATCAGTGTCATGGAATAAAATCAAGTGTGCAGTGCTGTGTGGTGTGTGAGGTCCGTGGAGAAGTGGGCAGCAGGGGCCCTCTGCACCCAGGGCAAGGGACTCTGCTCAGGATCCACCCCCACAGCTGAGCTGGGGCCACCAGCTCTGATAACCCCTGACAGTCCTGGGGTGATTCAGAGCTGGCTGCATGGCAGATTGATGCCAGGGCCTCATCTGGCTGATGAGAGATGTAATTAGTATGCATGACAGTGAGCCACCCATCACCCTGCCATGTGGCCGTGTCCAGACCTGCCCCCACCATTTCCTGTCTGCCATGGGCCCCATGTATCCACAGGGATGTGGGTCCTGTGACAGCCCTCCCCCCATTCCTAGACCAGAGTCCCAAGTGGCCTAAGTCACACCCTGGAAGTGCTTCGGTGCCTCAGCACCTCCAGTCCCAATCCTGTGCCCTGGCGGTGCCCAGAGAATGTGGGGACAGAGTGAGGCTGGGCCTGCTGGAGGAGAGGAGGGTCCTCAATCAGCCTTCCCAGCCAGGAAGAGGAGTGGGTCCTGCTGGCCCTGCCTGGCCTCATCCCCTGCCCTGCATCCGGAGCTCCCACTCATCCCCCACCCTCTGGGACCCAGTGGCAGAGCTGGGCCATGAAGCAACCCTCTCCCAGAGCTGGCCTGCTCCCATGTATGGACTGGAGAGTACCTATTGGCCTCGTGGGGCTGTCAGAGCTATGATGAAAACATGGTGACCCAGGCCCCTCTTCCGCCACACTGTCCCCTGAGGTGTCGGTTAGCAGGCTCTTAGATCTTGGTACAGTGAATTTTCTTCAAAGAAAATTTCAATAGGTCCCTGGTAAGAATGTTTCGCAGTAACAGGACACTTTGACGGTCTGGGTGCCACTGTGCTTCCGCCATCAGCCTGGGCCGGCTGCCAGAAGGACCATCATTCCTGCCCTCCAGTTCCCCTGCCACCCAGAGGATGTCACCTCTCTGCCCCATCCCCTGAGTCTCCTCCTGGAACCACATATCTGGAAGGAGGGATAGGGGAGGGTCTGGTACTTGAGTTAGAAGGCTTCTGGGTACTTCCCCAGTCCAGGCAGCCAGACCATGAAAGGTGACATTCCTGCCATGTCCCATCCCCTCACACTGCACCCTCCAGCACATGCTCAGACCTGACACCTCCCCTCACTGCCCAGGGAAGGGTAGTCAGATCACCTGCTTGGGGCAGATGCTGGGTGCAAATCTCCCCACAGTCTCGCCTCACTCTGCTGCCCAGGACATGATGGCAGCTGGAGCCCCTGCCCTGTTAGATAGGAACAGGAACCATACCCACAAGGGAACTGGTCTCTGCCTGAGCTGGAGCAGCCAACTGCACCCAGCCAGGGACCAGGCTCAGGTGCCAGGCCTCCACCCACCCCACTGCCTCCTGGGCTCACAGCAAATGGCTCAGCCTTGTCCCTGCACGGAAGCCGAGTCCTGTGTCTCCCTCATCCAACAAACATCAGTGATCAATCTAGCGTAGTGCATTGGTGGGCCAGATGTCCTTAGGTCCCATGAGGGGACAGCCCCTTCCAAGGGTTGTTTCACAGTGACAAGACAAAACCTGATCCAAAAGCTCATTCTTTCAGCTGTCCCAAAGCACCCGTGTGCTGGTGCAGGCCAAAGCCTGGACTCAGAAGGAGGCTCTTTTTCTCAAGGGGCCTCCTAAGGTCACCATGGGAGGGAGCCCGCCACAAATAATCCCCCTAGATGACCAGGGACTGGCAAAGCTCGAAGGTGAGTGTATTTCCAGCTGTGATGGGTCGCTGCCAGCCTCCTGGACCCAATGGAGAAGGCACACGCCGTGGACCTGGCTTGGCTGAGGGAGCAGAGGCCATATGAGGTTGTAGTTGACCTCCCATAAAGGGGCCCACACCCTCACTGAGCAGTGACCTCAAAAAAGAACTGTGGGGGCTGGGGTTATGGCTCACTGGTAGAGCGCTCGCCACACATGTGCAAGGCCCTGGGTTCGATCCTCAGCACCACATAAAAATAAATAAAATAAAGGTATTTAAAAAAAAAAAAAAGAACTGTAATGGCCCAGCATGGAGCAGGCCTGCCCTGTGGCCTGCCCCTGGGCACCCTGCTTTGAAGGCAGAGCAGGACATAGCGTGGGAGAAGCAGGTGCCAGCACAGTGCCAGGTGCCCCTAACAGCTGCTCTGACCACAAAGCAGGGCGCAGGAGCAAATGGCTGAGGAGGAGGGGGGCTGAGGAGGAGGGCTGTGGCAATCCAGAACAGAGAAGGGCAAGTTCAGCTGGCCAGAGGCAGAGGAGCACCCGACAGCTGACGGCATGAGGACAGTGCAGCTGGGAGAGCCCACGGGGAGTGGAGACCAAGCTGCCAAGGATAGGGTCCCCAACACTACTGAGGGGCCTTCAGCAAAAGAGGGAGGAGGGCTGAGGCTCGCGGCCGGTCAGGAAAGTTTCGGGAGACAACGTGGGTACCACAGCACAAGTGGATGCTCAGGGAGGGTGGGGAGCCCAGGGTGTGCAGCAGGAGCAGGCCAGAGGACACCAGGCCAGGCCTGCAGGGACCAGAGTGCTTCCAACCAGGAGTGAAGTGGACTTAGACATCTGAGGAGAGAGCATTTCAGATGAGGGGAGCCTGGAGCCAGGGCCCGGGCCGGGGCTGGGGCTGGGGCCAGATATCCCTGGCTGAAGGTCATTACGGAGAGTGTGAATAATAAACACCTGCTCCCACCACCTCCCCAGTGCCGCAGTCTGGCTGGGCACAAATAACTGGGGTCACGAGCCACTTGTAGGTTCAAACAGGAACTACTTTATTGCCCGAACCCAACGGGAACTCCGCGAGAACTCAAAAATAGCGGGCACCCGAGGCAGCAGGAGCCTCCCCACTGCAGGACAGAAGAGGTCCACATACACAACTGAATACACAGCTTGTTTCAATTTAGCATCATCCAGCTACAGCAATCAGTCATTATCTTAATAATTATACACAGCTTCACTTAATTATCATCATCATAATGGCTCGCTGGCGTTACTTCTCAACCACTCCTTCTGGCAAAATCCAGGTGCCGTCCCAACCCGGCTGTGGCTCTCAACACCCCAGAGTCTCCCAAGGACAGAAAGGCTTATTATAAAGTATTTACCCCAAAGGGGAGTGGGAAACCAGGTACAATGGTGCACAACTGTAATCCCAGTCACCTGGGGGGCTGAGTCAGGAGGATCATAAGTTCAAGACCAAGTCTGGGAAATTTAGTGAGACCCTGTCTCATATTTAAAAGGGGGACTGGGGATATAGCTCAGTGGTAGAGCCTTTGCCTCACGTGTGCAGGACCCTGGGACTGCAAGAAGAAGAGAGAAGGGGGGAAAGGCAGGGGCTGAAGGGAGGAGGGGAAAGACTGCCCTTTGGAAGCCAGGAAATGGAGAGCAGGTGACTGGAGGAAGCCAGCCGCGGAGAGTCAGCCCCAGTTGTGCTGCAGAACCCTGACAGTGGGTCCCTCTGGGCAGCAACAAATGTTGCCAGTGTAGGCCAGCCCTCCTGCAGAGCCTGGCAACTACCCACCTGACACTGGCAAAAACAGATCACTGGACTGGTAAACCTCAGGGTCTCTGGGGCCAGCAGGCCTGTATACATGTGCCCAAGAGATGCTGAGACCACTACTGCCCCCTGCCCAATCAGCCCTGAGGACACTGGTGAAATGCCAGATTCGTGGGACCCCAGTAGACCTCCAGGAGCCAAATCCGATGCAATCACACAGAGTCTTTATTGCAAGCTTGAGTCTGGACTCACAACCGTTCCCAACGCAGCGGCCCCAGGGAGTGAGTCCCGCTCCTTTGTTCAGTGAGATTTTATAGGTTTTGGGGATACTCTGTGTGTCACAACATCACACAGCAAATCATTTCACACCGGCAGGAAAGTCAAACAACTCTTAATATTGATTAGCACACTCACCGGTGGGAACAAGTTGGGTCCGGGTGATTGGTTAGTACAAGCGGGGGATTCCTTTGAACTGATTGTTTTAAGCCACGAGGGGAGTACGTGCTAAAGTACATGGTTTCCCAACATGTTATCAACCACCATAAACTACTGGGGGGTCATCTGGCTTCCCAGGTATTTTCCCTGTCTTATGCTGATTGGAGGTTGCTAGGGGGTTGCTATGGGTCCTCATCTAGCCTAACTGAGTCAGGGTCACCTGGCACTGCAGATCTCACCTGCGGTGAGATCAACTCAGCAGGGTGGGTATGTGCCTAAAAAGGCTCTGTGGGTTTTTCCAAGGACAAGGGTCATGCCCCCTTCCTTAGGACAGGCCTTGAGGTAGAAGCTGCTGTCATTTATTTATTTTCAAAAGTGCAGTCATATCAGTTTCTCACTGGCAGCCAGGCAGGAGAGTGAAATTGTCCTACCAGGGACTCCCTCCACCCTCAGAGGAAAAAGATGTCCCCGCATCTGGGGTTCCCTAACTAAGGGACCCTGCAGTTCACGCCCCAGGGAATGTCTGTCCCTAAGCGCCTTTCAGGTACTTGGAGCTTCCTCTGGCTTTGTCCCCTCCCATAGTATAAATAAGCCCATCAAGGATGACACTCCTCCAAGGAAAACCTTCAAATACAGAAAAGCTGTGAGGAGAAAACAGACTGTTTTAGTCAGCTTTTCCATCACTGCCACCAAAAGACTGGACAAGAACAATCTGAGCAAGTTCAGAAGCCTCAGTCCGTAGACGGCCAACCCCATAGCTCTGGGCCCAAAGTGAGGCAAAACATGGCAGAAGAGTGTGGCAGAGGAAAGTGGTAGGACATGGCCACAAAGAAACAGAACTACACTCACAGGGACAAAATATAGACCCCAAAGGCACACCCACAGTGACCGACCTGTCCATAGTTACCACCAGTTAATCCCTATCAGAGGATTAATGCACTGACTGGGTTAAGGCCCCCATTACGCAATCATTTCATCTCCATACTTTCTTGTATTGTTTCTCACGTGAGGTTTTAAGGTACATCTCATGTCTAAACCATAACACAGACCATGCTGGGAGAGAAAAG